GGAGGAAGTTGTAATTTACATAACTTCAAGATGATGCAAAATGAATAATAACTTTTTAATTCAATGGTTTAAGAAAATAATTTTTGAATTTCGTCTTATACTGTTGAATCTAGTTTTTCAACGATTTAATTAAACCTATTTCAACTGTGGTTATGTACACGAATTAATAGTATATACTCATACCTTTCGTTTTAAAAGAATTAAAACTTGTAAGTGAACATTACTTTTGTGCAAAACCTGAAATGAAATAAATCCACTAATGGGGCTTAATATTACACAAAGACATTATGTCAAGTTACATTTTGCATAAATTCCAATTGTACTAGGCATATTTGTAAATTAATACAAGAAAGTTGTGTCTGCAAACTAGCTACGGTTGCAAGCGTACTTTAAGAAATTAAAAAAAGTCTTTGGAAAACGGCAGTTGTACGAATAGTTATATTACCATCCATGTTATTTGCTCAAATAACCTTTTTCATCCTGCAAAAAATATATTTTTTGAAGCATTAATAAGTGGCAACGTAAAGAGTATATAAAACATTTTAATGCAGTGCACCTTTTTTAGAATAAAGCTTTTGACGGTATTACCTGCCCCTGGAATTTGTACTCGCCAAATTTTTCGGCGTTTGAATGAAGCACTTGAGTTTACTGTGTTTCACTCTCCCTTCCGTGACCCGAGGTCTGTTCGGTTTGACTTTTGTATGTTTTCTGCCTTGGTGTAAGAGTGATTCTGTTGCATAATTACACTGTAAACTGAAGTATTATGCAACATTTCACTCATGTACCGAGCTCAATCAGCTTTTATCTTGTGCATCTTTTTTGTAACAGTCGTGCATTTTCGTCATATCTGGTCACGAATATGGATCTCTTCTGCCTTAAATTTCCCTTTATGTGGCTTGCATACACGTTTAAAACTAGTTGCCGTTCATTGAATCAAGAGTCAATTGCTCGTCACGCTTGTTATCCTTCGACCAGTTAGATCACATTGAAGGTCTGTTTAATTTTAGATCTCGTGGCAAACATCTTTGCTATTATACTGTTCCCAATATACTGTAATGATGTAAAGATACATGTTAACCCTTCGATTTCCTGATATTTGTCATTTTGTAGTAGCCTATTCTTCATTCTATCTTCTGTCACGCATCCACATTCCTAAATATCTGCACATAATCAATATCTTCTTAAGTAAATTTATTACATAAGTAGTACAACTTAAATGTTGTAACGAATATTGTATATTAATAGAGTAACATCTAAAAATAATCGGAAAATTAAATAATCTGACCACCCGTGGCAAGTAGTTGGTGTTTAATTCATACTAGCAGTTATATTCTGTTAAACGTCAAACAAATCTGATGATTGCTCTCTTGCATTCCAAGAATTGGAATTTTCGTCCACGTGCAGAACTATTTACCCTTCATCTTATTAAATCAGTCTTTGAAGTTGAAGACAATCTTGGAAGTAAGCATACAATTTATCACAGAAGTTGAGCCAATTGCCACCATTTCTTACGATACCGGCCTCGTTTCTCATTGACCTACACCTGGTCCCATGAACGTGCACATGATCAGCTACAATGCACAGGCTGCTTGATTCAACATTTCATCCACTTCTCATTTAATGGACAGTCTACGCGGATCTGCGTTTTGTGGGCTGCCCTGGGTGGTCGTTTCGGAGATGTGGGTCGATCTCTAGCTCCTTCATCCGATTACAGCCTTTACTTGCAGATCAATTCCCAAGATCGGTGATGGCTATCAGAACACCATGTCAACTCCTTGGTGCACACTATCGACGTGCAGCTCTTACGCGTCAGGCGGAGGTGGAGAAATACGACTGCTGAGAAATAGAAACAATGAATGTTTGCTGGAACAGCGACAGCCGTTTCTTCAGACATCCTAACGAATGTTGCCTTGAAATGTGGCAAGACTTGTAGATGGGTTTCTGCATTGTATGTCTCACAGTCTTCCACCACAACCGCCTCTGGAGGGTTCCGCGTTGGAACACTCCCATGGAGTCGACTCAAAACACGGCGACAGGTTCAATACCCACATTTCATACTTTAAGAATACGCTTGAAGTTGGAATCGAGGCTAGGGACTGGGTCCGTGCTTTCTTCTTCGACGGATCTCTGATCGCGACTAAGGCATGGCAAAACTGGTGTGTGCTAGCATCACGCACACTTTAAAAACAACTCACACTGGTGTACATCCATTCGCACGGCTGTGTAAAACGAGGCTGCAACGGGAGCTTTCTAGCCTCCACAATTTGAGTAACTACGAGAAGACACTGCATGATCGAATTGGGTGCCACGTTGAGGAAGAATGAATAATAACTTTTTCTTCAAGGGTTTGGGAAAAAAAGTATTAGAATTTTGTCTCTTAGCAAACAAGTCATGAGGTAGTCTCTCATCAGAGTGGCGTTTATATCAGGGTTTCGCAGCCCCGTATGAAGTTTCAACTGTGGTGCTTTTTTGATGGGATACATTGCTACGAGCTAGCTCTCCATGAAATATGTCAGGATTGAACTGCCAGGGGTAAAAAAATAGCCAACTTGACCTGTTAAGTGAGAAAGCATCATGCACCTCCAATGTATCACCCCAAAGCAGAGTGTAAACGTTGATTGGTGGTTGAAGACTCGAATTCACAAGACTAGCCAAGTCGAATTTACCGTTACACACCTGTACCAGCAGCTCTTAACTATACGCCAAAAGCAACGGCCCAGAAAAGGCGGCAGAACAGTGCAAACTAACGCTGACATGAGGTGTTGTGAATGCTGCAGTTAGTTCCGTTTATTTTCTGGCATCATCGGGCCGAAACCCGCCTCATTGGCCTAATTCAGGGATTCATGCCGCCTTCTAAAAACGACCTGCTGAAGAATGCCCCAGAGAGGATAGTTAACCTGTGACAGTGCCACAAATTCAGGACACGACGTGACAAGTCATTCTCCTCCAAATCGTCCCTACGTTGATTGAGACAATTCTTATCCTTTATTGCGCAGCCACAGTTGCCTGATGTGTTTCGTTAATTTCCACAGCACTGTACATTCTTCACCCAACAGGCAGCAGTGAAATGCAGTCGGTGTCTGTTGTCGTCTTGCAAAAGACCTGCTCGTTATTTTCACAACCGACAAACATGTGCAATCACACCCATTGTCCTCCAATCGAGTTTGCGAAATTTGCTGAGCCATGCAGGTGTAAGGAAGCGAGTGCATACTCACGACGACCCATCACCAAGGTGGTAACAAAGTCAAGTTTTAGTATTGGGTTGAAAATTAGACCACTATATTGCCCTGCCCGAGTTCATCTTATGGACATCAACGTTTCCAAAGACAACTCATTTAACAACGCCGAAACTGTGGCTTTTTTACTCGACTCTGTTCACACAAACGCTACTCCACAATCGCGCTCCGTCTGTGCTCACACTAAAAACTCGCCACCCCGTGTTAATCACTCTCAACTCATCGCACTATGATTGCCGAGGCATATAAATAAATGGGCGCATCTGTAAACGCTCTCGGCATTGGACTTTGCACACTTAGACAGTAAGAGCTCACTGCACGAGGTATCGTTTTGTCCTGTTCTGAAAAGTTTGTGGTTGCGTGAGACAAGGGATTTGGTGCATTGGTCCTCTAAGCTTGTGCTTTGTTTACGAGTAGAAATGTAACAGTTCGGTACTATGGCCCAGCTGCAAATAACTCTTAACCAATCTGGTAGACGGTGCGAGATTTCAGATTGCTGGTGAAGCGTTTTAGCGACCACACTGCAATCACTAATGTTAGTAAAACCTGCCAGCGGCCAAATCGGTTATTTAGCACGTAATGCACGCCGGTCTGGCCTGTCTTCCCGTCGTCTTCTAGCCGTGTCTGTGGATCAGCCCTGACCCCTACCCCTATTCCTACAATAACCCTCTCCACATGCGCTAGCCTCTTTGCAAGTGTATGCGATGGTCTGTGATAGATCACATTCCTTCTAATAGTCTTCTGTCGCGTGTCACGTAGTCAACCTTGATGGTGTGGCTATGCCTGAGGGACAGATTAGTCGTAACCTACCTCTTCATATCCCTTCTCGATAGGCATGTTACAATTGCTTGGTACCTATGACCACCAGAGAATGGAAATCACCATGTGCATTCAGTAATACTGACAATCACAACGCTCTGTTTATTCAACTGGATGCTTCTTGGTCCTACTCTTGTGCACTAGCAGAGGTGTGCTCCAAAGCAGTGACATCCTTAGCTTGCGAGACAACAATCTGTCACTTGTTACGTACGTGCCTTACTGTACGGGCGAGTGTATGATCTTGAAGCGCGTTTAGCGCAGACGATAGCCTCAGTCCTGCTGAAGAATGCTCGCATCAAATCCACGAATGTAACACTGGCAAGTCTTAACTAACCGTTATCGTTGCAAGTCAAGCCGACTAAAGGCTTTGGGTGTTTCAGTTCACTTAATCAGAGGACGACACAATGTTATTTGGCATCGGTGAGAAGGCATGGGGAGGGGAACGCTTAGTGTAAGTCATAGGCACTGTCTTCAGTCGAGTGGAACACTTGCTTATTAATTGATTTAGTTTCTTCGGCGATATTTTTGGAAAGAGACGGGACAGCAACTCCCTGACTAACTTTTCGTTATACTTGATTCTTGAGACATTGCAAGCAAACCACACAGCCTACCAACAATGATGCTAATATACTTGGCGTTTATGTGAATGCACGGACTCTCCTGAAGGAACCTTCTCAGAAAAATGTGTTTTTGTGCTCCAGTACCCTACGCCACTGTCTTGTGCATGTCTAATCAGGTAGCTGAAGAGTAGCAGCATTTGAGCTCCATTGATGCCTTGCAAAATTCCATTACACATTTGGCAGACTTGACTTAGCCTCGGGGCAATGAGTGGGTTCTCGGTGCATTGCTACTTGACCAGCTAGGCCAAGACTCAACTCGCGTCTGCGATGAAGTCTGTTGAACCAACGAAGAACACTCGCGTTGTTTAGAGAGGAATGTGTGTATTCAGCAGGGGACGGATGTCACGCTGTGTGCCAGTGATGTTAGCAAATTGGAGGGCAATTGAACAATAACGGCTTGGCATTGGTGTGCGAAATCTTGTGAACCTCGAACCGATGGCAACATTATTAATGTTCCCAAGAGAAAATCCACTGGCCGTCCAATCAGGCAGTTTGGATTGACAAGTGAAGGCTAAAGGAAAATGAGCAAAGCTAGTAACCAAGTGTCCATAGTGGGAAAGCACTACTTGGGCACCCTACCTGAAGAAGTTGGGCTTCTGAGAGGCAAACCATTTCTGCCAATTGTGAAGGTAACATCTTAAGACAAAAAAGAGGCGACAATCTTAGATCGCTTGACTTACGCTGTGCTAGCAACATGGGCATTATAAACGCAAGTGTTTGTCCAAATTCATCTTTTCCTAGTTTAGTCACTCGATCAAATTGAACACCAACAAAGTCCATTTTAATCAAACACCTTTCCTTAATTATTGCGCGTTATGGGACAGTGCATTCCAGGAGAATATTTGGGCAGAAGTGCACACATTTGGGAGTGTTGGTTAAGTTGAACATAAGCAATTTGTGCTCTCGTGTAGTCAAATAACGGCTTCCTTTAAAATGAGCCAATTTGACGTTAAATAATACGAATGGGAAAACTGACGTGAGTTTTGACCTGCATCTCAAAAACTCAGTCTTCACTGAGCCCATTTGGATGTAAGAAAAGAGAATACAATTGGAAAAGCCAAACGCGGTAATGCGCACAGTACGTGCATAAATGGACGTCGCAACTTACGCAAACCTTGACACACCGACGTTGCATCGCGTCCGATTGAATGGAGCAAACCGAGTCAGTCTGCTCGTCAACGCCTAGTTCAACAACGACCTCCATTGCGTGAAACGGTTTATCAATTTTGGCCTGGCAACGACTACATTCCAGTGCTGTAGCCGCCACTTTATCAAGCGGGTGCTTCAGCTCATCCGAGAGACAGCCTGGACACAGCGGCCACACCTGAGAAGCAGAAGAATCAACGCCGACGACCACACCTGCGTGTGAAAATGGCCAGATTCAGTAAATGCGTTCTGGCTTGCAGTCACCATGTTGTGGGGCAGGCCAATGCATTAAGCCATGGGACACCTGGAACATGCAAGCCGCCGTTGGCTAGCGCGTCAACAACAAACCATCAAACACGGTGCCTGGGTGTATGAGCTGATTCGAAACACATGTCAGACTTGAGTTATTCTGAAGCGGCACTTCCACTAGAATAGGAAACTCGGAGTGTGACAGAGTGACAACAGTTCGATTCAAGCACGCGCAACTGTGGGTTCCTCGCTAGCAAATATTGAGAAATGAGCGGGTTGGCTATATGCGTGAAATCATATCTACACACATGCTAAAATAGCTGATGTTGTTGGGTAAGTCGAATGACTTGGAGAATCGAGCGCTCTGACTTTAACCCCAGGTGACACCAAAAAGTAATCGGACGTTCCACCTTGCCTTTCAAAACCTTGTTCCTGTGTTGAATCCACAAACAGTAGGCAGCAGTACACACGAGACTCCGTCTTTCCACGTGTCCAGCCTCGGCGTATTGCATCCCAAATAACCTCATTTCTTTCAAATTGTACTTTATCGAGAGTGGTAATGTTAAATACACACTGAGGTGTCGCCCTCGCCCCAGACAGAAACGACAAAAAGGCAAATGTGTACCTGAGGTTGTTATGAGGCTTAAATTAAGCAGGCCGTCAGGTCTTGAATGGTCAAATGCTGGGGGGAAGGAATGGTGTCGAATGCATTTGCCGCTCGTTACTGGAAGAAGGTCAACGTCAAGCAACTCAATGCGACTGAATGCGTCCAGGACAAAGAAGCCTTTGAATGAAAGGAGAAGAAAATATCATGAATCTGTAATCTGAAAAAATAAAGAATTGTCACAGAATGTGACAAGTAAAACAAGGTAGGTGATGTCGCGGATTTCAGCTGAACGCCCTGAAAGCCATGGATTCAAAAAACGACAAAATGCAACAACAAACCTGGCAGTTGCTTTGATTTAATTGTAGGTAGCTGCGAAAAAGGCGTGGCGTTGAACCAGCACGACAAGTCAGTAAATTGCGGTTTGGAATGAAGAATGCCCTGCACTTCACAACCATCGAATTTATGCAGGCGACGGATGCTAACATCCAAAAAATACGATTCACAGCTGCTGCAGATACTTACCACTGGTGATAATGGCACCGGCGATAGACAATCGAACTCGACAACTGCGGTGTTGGCCGTAGGCAATGGCTGGACAAGGGGAGAGGTGGTTCGAAGTGGTGAGGAGCGTTATGGGGGTGGCCGCATCCGAAGTGCACACCACCAACTGTGGGGTAGGCGGGTGGTGGACACGAGAGGCCAACCCCGACGCCATGCTACCCGAGATGATCACAAATGCGCCCGAGATACCTTTCTTGCCACAGGTGCTTCTTGCCAAGGCCAAAACCTTTTCAGCAATGCCCGAACCCGACGGAAACTCAAAGTAGGAAGTTCGATGTTAGTTTAAATGTGTGCTTTGATGAATTTGGTAAAAAAAATTGAGGACTGCTCGTACATGGCTTACTGTGGAACCTCAGTGCAGGGCATGAAATTCCTAGGTTGGGATAAGTAAGCCGACCCTAAAAGCCTGTGCACGAGGAACGTGAGGTGAGTAGTTAAGATCATTAGGCCCCCCCCATTGCCCTCAAGATAACTAAGTTCTAGAAACCAGTACAAGTTTGTGGCTAGTCTCATGCTAATCTGCGTTTTTTATTACTAACGAATACTCGACCACAATATGAAAGACTCATTTCGTCTTCGTGCAAGGTGGGTGAAAAATAAGCAGACAGCACAATCAGGTCGGTTCGCTACCTCATGGAGAAGGATCCCGTTCAATGAGCAACGCGAATTCGGCTGAAGCATGGGCTAGAGATGGAAAGGAACAATGAGGCTGGAATGGAAGCAAACAGTGGCATTTGGTATCATCGTATAAGTTGCTAGATCTTCTAAGTTTAATGGTGAACAAGTGCTTCCATTTGGAAAATACCGTCAGGTATCTAGTGACAGGCGTGGAAGTCACCCAAGGCAAACAAATCATGCGTGCAAAGCGAGAGAGCAGAGGCGTGACCATCACATGAACATCAACGACCGCGTGATGGGATCGGTGAGTGGCTCAGGTGCCCTCCAAATTTACAGAATGTGTTTGACAGTATCTTTGGAATTAAACAAGCGGTGAACTAGAAGTGGATGCTTCGTTAATGAAAAAGAGTAATTGATCTATGACTTGACACAAGAAACGTACGGAGTAGAGGGGGAAGACAATGTTTTCCGAAAAAACGGACATTTGCAGAGACAGTTGGAATTTCTCAGAAGTTTTCAGCACCAAACAAGGTGGGTATTCTGAGTCGTCTGGGTATATGAATTGGCTAAGTCTGTCGTCTCCCCGCAGAATTTCAGCAAAAGTAACCCACAGTTCACGAACTTTTCTGCCTATTCTGAAATAACAACACCAAATTAGGGGTTTTATCAACAAACACTTTTGAAATTTGATAAATTGAGAGCATGTGATTCACGCCCACTTGGCAGATTGGTAGTGGGACAGACACTTCTACGACTACAACCACGAACATTTCGCCACTGTTTCCAGCTTAAACTGAAGTCACGTTACCCAAACTCCCAAAGTGACAGCTGCTTCCTGCACGGTTGCACATGGCCACCTCGACTGCTCTGAACATGGCAGCGAGGAGATTTACTGAAACGTTGAAGGTACTTACGGGACAGAAAGCCGCCATAATCTGCACCGCAGCAAATAAGCAACCGGCCTTTGGCGTGGCTTAGGGGCAGCGAGCGATGTCCGTGGGTGGGACCAAGGGACAACTGCTGCCGCCCACCAGATAAAGTTGATAATTTAGGGTGAAACGTTGAAACCTAGGCGTCGTGTGTTAACACGTAAAACCAAAAATTGATGATGAGACAACCGCTCCAACGTGTCGGGGCAAGAGTGAGATGCGGTTATTCAGTTTAAAAGTGTAGGATCCTGGCAACGAAATGTAAAAACTTACTTTTTGTCAACAATGCTCAGAGCAGTAGGAAGGGACTTTATGCTGTAAACGCAGCCTGGACTCAGGAATGATAATTCGTGCGATGACTTGACCAATGATTCGGACTCTTTGCATTGCTGCGGAGAGCAGATCGAGGTGGGCAATAGAAAGACGGACAAGCCACCACCAGCGAATTTCACCATAAATGCAAATCTGAAGGCGTAACGAAATTGGGAAGCCTTTCTACTTAACAATCTATCACAAGTTTAAAAGTAAATCTGAAGATACGGACGCATGATTGATTTTGAAAGGAAAATTAACGGATATTTTTCACGATTTATAGATTTCAGATTTGCAGCTCCCTTCCAAAACTACTACTACTAAGATACGAAACGATTATCTTTAAAATTTTTATCTGGAATGGTAAGGCTAGGGGCTGTACTACTTACTATTTGAATTGATTTAAAAAGCAGGCGCTCTAATACCTGAGTTTCCCTTGGAACCAAATGAGACTCTTCTGCAAGACGAGAAAGACTAGAGTAGTGCTAGTTGATGTACACTTTTGTGTGATTTCCATCGCCGGCTTAGCAACCTAAACGGAAAAAAAAGTGTCAACTGGCGAAGAGAGGCTTTGTTGTGAGAGTAAAATTGGCTCCACTAACTTTAAAGCCGAAACGATACTTGCAAGTGGACCAAGAGTTGTCAGCCGGATCTGGAAAATAGGGAAGAATATTGAAGCCTTCACTGCAAATTCCGCCCGGGGCCACATTTCAGGTTGCGGACAAGAAGAAATGGCCACGGTACTTGCGATGAGAAGTCGATCAGGTCTACATGGTAGGTGGACTGAATCACGACACCTCACCAACTTACTTCGATCGCCTCTCCAACAGCTTTCGGAATTATCTTTGCACTTAAACCAACGCATTATTTTGCTTAAACACGCTTGGATGAGCGAATGGGCCGGGACGATTGTCATAAATGCGTTTTGATGCCTACGAAGGTTCAAAACCTGCCCCGTTTCGTGGCGTGTAATGCTTATTTCTTGTAAGACGTATCAAAAGCAAAACTTTAAGGGCGCTACAGGCAAATGAGGGCAACAAACGCGTTTCTTAAAATGAGCGCCCTTGTTAAATTCACCCACGTAAGTAAAAATAACAAAAGGAATACGAACTTGTTTGGAAACAACTGCACATGGTCGAAATCCTTTCTGGTGAAGACGACCTCGGTTCCGGCGGTTTCTGCTCTACAGTTACAAAGTAAGGTGCATAGATGATCCGTCGTTTGTCCGAATTTGGTAAGCTGATTTCACTCCTAAAAATCATTTAAAGATGTGGAAATTGCACCGAACCGCTTACCACGGAGCCGTTAATGTGATGACAAGCGAACATGCAAACAAAGCTGCTTCCTTTAAAAGAGTCCACTGGGCATCGGTAAACAGTGCGGTGGAGAGAATGAGAACTTCGCCAACTGATGAATTGATTATGACGTGGCCACTGACGGTACGAGACGGGGACTGAATGAAAACTGACTGTGCACTGAAAACAGCCTGTGGGTGTTTTTTGCAAACATCTAAGGGAGGCGGAGATACATGGAGCGCGTTATCAAAGACAAGAATATGAGGATTTTTACCAAATATCGCGTAAGTACTGTTTAGCTGAATGTGCCATTAGACAGTCGTAGCCCCGAGGAAAAAGCGACTCACACCTACACCAAACATTAAGAACATGTCTAAAAAGAGAACTGCAATGTTCGAGACACTAACATTACGAATAAAGCTAGCCACAAAGCCCGAAGTCTTTGTGCAAGTACGGTATTTGTTTCGAGAAAATCCGACTGGTAGAGACCTTAAATATGCAACAACTCAGTTTTTAATTATATCAAATATGCACTAAAAAGGGTGTCAAGATTGACATTAAAGAAACCGGTAAAGCTCAGAAGCCATGCAAATCTTTGTCCCCAGCAGAACACACCCACATAAAACGCAAGGACGTACTTGCAACAACACTCACAGAATCTGGTTTACAGACGAGATTCAAATACTTGATGTAAAATTACCTGAAGAGTTTGAGCGAGAATGTTGCCAAATGACCCTATCGGACTGAATACGCCGTAGGCGTGTTGCCAAGCGAGAAGACAAGGCGCACCTAACAGGAGGTTATAATGCTTTACTACGCGGAAGTTTAAGAAGACTATGTTTTAAAAAAGAAATATATTTTAATGCCCATGCTTACAATCACCCACCTACACTTATAATACAATACTGAACGGATAAAAAGACAAATGTAAAATGTATGCATGTCGTAAAAGTGATTGATGATTACATATTTACTTTAGGTTACACAACTAGTCACAAAGTGTAAAGGACTTACCGTAGTTCCCTTTTTGAAGGCAGCTCCAGAACACTGACCGGCCCAGTATGCACAGCCTTAGTAGATACAGACGTATCAAGCTTTGGGGGAAGACGGTGATTTAAAGGTTCGACAATTATTCGCTGGTCGATTTCAACATCACAATCGCTGCCCGAACTTAGGACAAAATCTAATTGATCGTCGTTTATTGCAGGCTCCATGTCCTTTACCGCGTTGTCACATTGCGTCACTAAAAAGGGAGCCTGGGCAGTAAGTGGAGAGAGTGCAGGGACTCCAGACACTAACTCTACTCCATTCTTCATGTGGTCTTCAGAACTATCGGAATCAAAACACAACACGGTACGTTCACACTCAGTTTGATCTTCATCATCGGTCTAAATGTGGTAAAATGACAAAATAGGCTTACGTCCTCGTGGATTGCAAGTTCAGCGAGATTTTGATCTTCAGAATTACGCTTGTTGCACCTAGTGAAGACTCCGAGAGGGGAAAGGGTGGGTTTTGAGGGTTTTAAATTTGACACATTCCGTGTACTTTTAAAAAATGGAGATTTCTTGAACGTTGCGACATTTGGACGATCTGATGACAACAGTTGACTATCCGAACAGGTATTTTGGAGACTGAAGTTAGCAAAAGAAAGGTTTAAGTAAGTAGGATAATAAAGTTATTGAATACTACAAGCAGCTAAAGTTCCGTACCTTTCTACTTTTTTTGCTAATCACATGTCCACCACGGAGACTACTATAACGTCAGCCACACAAACAGAAACCGTTGGCGACAGTGGTTATGTAAAATATGGCCCATTACAACATACGACTTGTGCAATAACAGTGCCATTGAAAATATTAACTCGATTCTGAGAGCTTTTGATCTGAAGTCACATGCATGAAAAATTAACTAACAAGTTATGGGGCCACAATCCCTCCTCACCCAGCAATATAAATAACTCCAAGAACAAGTAAACCCACACTCAATTGCAGCTGGCGATAACAACTATTCCATTTTCCTTACTAGTACTAAGTAGTTAATAAAGACCACGAACTACAAATCACTTTAGGTTATAGCAAAAATGTTATAACTATTAACTTAATCTAAACCGCTGAGGTTACTAAGCACATGGTGACCGTAAATTAATCTATGCATATATGACCCTATTAACTTTGCAGTAAAAAACTGTTCACTTATTTTATTGATAACAAACAGAAGACTACCGTTTTTTCCTAACATGAGGATCGTTTCGTAGAAGAGTAAGCCATTTTGGATAATCAGTCATTTTATACAAAAGGTGCTGGTTCAATTCCAAACCAATGCAGACATGAGGTACTCGTCAAAATGCGCTGTAAATCAAGCGCGCAGCAGGATAAGTCTGATAACCTAAAAAATTATGCACCAACTCAAGGTCCCACCACACCATAAATTCCGCACTTTAATTGAGGTCTAAAATCGAGGTAGCAAAACAATATTAGAAATTCTCTTTAAATTCAATCCAAATGTATATATATACACTTCGTAACCCATCTTTGTTTCTTTATATATATGCGAAAACATTTAATGCCCTAACTGCCACTGGCACAGGACTATCTTTTCATGAAACGATAGTCATTTTATTCCTCGCAAGCGTGCTTGGAAACGCAAATACTTATTTTACGTTTATGACTTTAACTTTTAGATTTTTTAGTCAGTATTGCAACCATGTACAACCACGCAAATTTTAACTTTATAATCCCTCACCTTTTAATAAATTTTACTAATGTGAAATCCCTATCAGGAACGTCAATTTTAGAGTGTGAACGATGGAGTTTCTTTTATGTATTACTTATGATTTTTGCATAAACTTCTACGTTTTAACTCCAGAAATATTTTTCATAGCCATAATAAACAAGAGTCCGTGGACCTGCTTATAACCCTAATGAATTGACTGACTAGAAATATACTACTTAACAGCCTTCCAATGTGCATTATCAGCACTATAACAGAGTTCGCTATTTAGATGTAAAAAGGTAATAATGACTTTATTTGAATCTATAAATTGAGTTGGCATATAATTAAGCTATCAGAAACTCCAAAAATAACTGAGACTTTCAAATGGCTCCACAAAGACTCGTGAAGCAAAATGTTGAAAAATCTGAAAATGTAGATTTGGTGTTGCATATCTTTTTTCTCCATCCGAGCTGGTTATAATTACTCGACTCCGTGTCGTGTCTAACCTTTACGTCGAAATTGATCTTGTTGTATCGGCTTGCAATCCTCCCCTCGATCTATAAAATTTCCGTGGAATATCGATGTCGCTGTTTCTCCTTCATGAAATTTTAACAGGATCTAATTCACAAAACTTTTTGCCTATCCATTTGACTCTGGTTGGAAAAAAGAGGGAATGCATATGAATAACAGTGTACTGTCAATGGAACTCCTTAAGCTAAATCGATGTGAACTAGGAGCCGTTTTCAGAGTCTTTAGTTCCTGGAATCTTACGTCGTCCATTTTGAGTAGGCGTCTGACATGAAATAGTACAAACTTCCTGCAAGGTCAATGCGGACACAGAACTGAGGTTTTTGCAATTGTAGACAAGAAAATGAAGGAAATTTAAAAAGAATTTGGTGGTCTACTGACATTGGCAGCATCTCTTGAGTAATTCTAAAATTTGCTGATCCATTTTTGCCCTGAACACAGAGAAACGGGCGATAAACTTCACGTGACTAACACTGGGATCGCATAAAAAACCGCCAAAGAACCTGTAAATGCAGTTATTTGGACACTAACGCGTTCTTTTAGCACACAGCATTCGACTTCAACGCTAAAGAAACCATTTCGCTAAAATGGCTGTTAAATGTCTACGACAAGGGACGCTTTGGCCACTAACCTTTGACTTAACTGACGGTCCGTTGTGGTTTGCTCTTCGCTGCCGTTTCCTACATAATGTTGCGAACCAAGACCGGCAGGGTAAGAACTATTTTTTGCACCTGTTCCGTGTTAACTTCGTCGATGTAGATGGCGGCAATAATTACTTTCTCCTTGGTGGTGAGCTGGTTACTGATGAGACATGATAAGGCATCTGCCTGCACGAAGTTCTCTGTACGACAATAATGAATTTCAAAGTCGTAATAGAAAAGGATATGCATCCATCTTCTCCAGCTGCTTAGGGAATGATTTGACGTGCCCGTTTTTCAACCGAAGTTAGACACTAAAGACTTGTGGCCCGTAAGAAGAGAAAATCGATGGGCATAAACAAGTTTATGGAAAGGGAGCACAGCATGGACCAAAGTGAGAGCTTCTTTCCTAATCTGTTCTCACCAATAATCTGTCGTTGTTAGCAAATTTCATGCATGTGTAGTGACGTACTAGAGGGATATTAAGCTATACTAGAAGGTTAATCAGCAGCCAACCAGAGAAAATAGTGGATACAGCACAGTCAGTGTAAATGACTTGGATTGACAGCGCCTTACGAACGGTTCTGACTTGTAATTGGTCGATAAAGCATGTTCTGCTGTAACAGTATTCATGCAAGCATTGTGGTCTTTTTTGTTCCATTTAAATAAACATGGTAGATGACTGTGTCAATGATTTTGGCAGATGCATCAACTGCAGTAATAATTAGTAAATTCAGACAACAATGGGTCAGCAGCAAATCAGAACCAAGCATTGATTTGGGTTGATAGAAAGTTACTACACAATCTTTGGACCAAACGCAAAGTATATTCTTTTGCATGCAAGCGATTCAGTGGTGGTTGGAAATTGTGAAACAAAGCTAGAATATCCGAGTAACAGCTGATTAGTTCCTAAAAGGAAAACAGTGAAGGAACGTCATTTGAATAGAGAAAAAAAGTGTCAGGGTCTATATGGCGGACAGAGACAAAAGATAAAACCATGATACCAGCAGAAAGTGAAAAAACTGGCATTTCTTCTGACAAAGTCTGAACTCGATGACTTGAGTTCGCTGAGGTACTGCCCCGACTCGCTTGCGTAAATAATCTCGCAAGGTGGCTCCAATTATTTGGTATGCTGCAACCCTAAGGATGTCAGTCAGGTCCTCTGGGGCTAGTTGAGGATGGAAGTGTTGTTCCATGACTGCAATGAGGCCAATGGAAAAGCGGTTTCAAAACAGTACTGGGCCAGTTATTTTCTAGATCACGACGACTGGAGCCTTCAAGGATGAGTTTGGGGCCAGAATAGGACATTCAAGACGCTCTATTTCAGCGTTAATCAGCAGTGATTACGCGTAGAAAACCAGTCTTTTTGACGGAAGACCGGTGTGGAGAAGAAAGACTTGTGTAGCAGAGCGGTGTCTCAATCCGGGTTGAAAATTGTGATAAACAGGTTGATGATGTCCTCAATGTGTTTTCGTCAATTTTAGGGCATTGCAGATTTAACTAACCGAAATATCGGTCAAACCCATTTATTCGAACCAATCCAAACCAAACATTTTTAGCTCGGTGTTGGTGACATAATATGTCCCACTGAAGGTTGCTTAGCAGAAGGTCACAAAGCATTTTATATGGTCACGGAATTAAATTTCACCGCCATGGGCACTGACTGCCGCTTGATAGATGGGCCTGAATGAAGGCTGCTATTGATTCTCTGAGGTGATGGTAATGTTTAAAGCCGTGTAAAGCTGCAAACAAAATTAACAGTCATTGATAAGAATGGTTGCATGCCACAAGGTGTACTTAGGAGGTGATCCACAGGCTGAGCGCCACGATTGAGAGGCTGGTTGGCCTGGGTATTATCTTTGTTTAAAGGTGCTGCTAGCCTTTGCTGGACGAAGGTTGTCGTGAATTGCGTTGATTTATGCTAGTTAATCGAGGCCCCCCAGCCACCCGGATTCTTAACTTTCTTCTCCCATTAGCGAGAACAATTATTCTGGAGTGTACTGTTGTGAATTGTGTTTATTCAACCCCAAAATCCTTTCGCTCCACCTCCCACACAGGGTTCCCCTTGTCGCAGCATGTCGCCAGCCGCGCGGATCCCTGACTCCCCCTTCATTAGCACGAATATTTATCTTGGAGTATCCCCACACATAGGTCTCGATGTTATCGCATGTATGATTCACACATCCGAGGTATAAATACACAAGCGCAAAGACCACACACGACACAACAACACCAACTTGGTCCATCTCAGAAGTATATGGTTGAGTCCACGTTCCCTATGGTCTATTTCATTTTTGCGGGGACTCAGGATAGAGTAATCGGACCACATCCAACTCAGTGGCTTGGCGTAGTTTAAAACCACATTTTGGGGTCCGCATCGAAGTGGCTGGCAGTGTTCGTTCTTGTGAAAATGAATTTGCATTGCTGTTATCGGTGCTGTTTGTATGTGAGAAACATGACAAACTGCCAGGCTTTACAGTGCAAACATGCCGAAGTAGGAGTGTCCTTTAAATTCTTACCATGACTTATGCTGGTTCGTTGCCCTTCCGACATTAGGTATCGAGGAGGAGAAGTTTGGTAATTTACTGAACTTCATTAACTTCAGAACCACTGCGTCCATAGTCTCGGACCATCCTGGAGTCGTTTTGCATGCTGCTTCATTGAAAGCAGTAATTACAGATCTCATCCAGGGTTACGAAGAAAGTTTACTTGAGCAGATTTAGCAGTCGCAATTGCACATCCTCGTTGAGGGCTGCAAATGGAAGCGAGAATTTAAATTTGGTCATCAGTTAATGATTTGACTTGGCTTCTCTTGCATTCACAAATAAATATTTCTAAGTGCTCTAGGAAGTTGTGAATCTCCCATATAGAGAGCTTGAGCCATCTATACCAGGAAATTAACAAAGAGCAGCATTCTGCAAACATCCACTAAAAAAATTTTGAACACTCACTTCCCGTGTGCAGTCGAGT